AGCATTTGGAGCTGGGAAGCATCCTAAGGCTCATCTAAGCCAACACCTTCCTTCTGAGGAGGGGGTAACTGAGTCCTAAAGAAGGGGAATAACTTCCTCAAGAACACACAGCAAGTGCGTGGAGTACTGGGCCTAGAATCAGGAAGACTTAGGTTCAAATCCAGCCTCAGACACTCACCAGTTGTGTGACCTTGTGCAAGTCACTTAACGTCTGCCTCAGTTTCCTCAATTGTAAAATGGGGATATTAGCAAGTTAGGGACAGAGCTGAGATCAGAGTCTAAGTTTTCTGACTGCAGTTTCCAATGCTCTTTCTACCACACTAGTACTTCACTGCCTCTCGATTCTCTTGAATCTTCCCACTACCCCACACTCCTTGATGACTGGAGCCCTGTGGATTTGGAGCCTGAGGGCTTGGATTCAAATCCTAGCACTGCCATTTACCACCCATGTAATTTAGGGCAAGGCCTCTCTGGGCCTCAGTTTCCTCATCTGTAAAACAAGGGAACTGGACTAGCTAATCTCTTATGTCCCTTTCAGCTCTAGAGTTATGATCCAGCCTTCTTGCCTGTGACCACAGCTCTTCCAGCAGAATGAGGGCTCTGTTGTCTGTGTCCAGAAACACTGTAACTGTTTTCTGTTCTATATTTTGTCTTAGTTTCTGCTTCTGCATTTCTCCCCCCAAAAAACTCCAGCAGAGCTTCTGTTTCCTCTTGTTGTCACCCCTGCCCTCAAGAAGCCAAGAGCTACTGAGCACCCAGAGTTGCAGATCCCTTCCCAGCAAAGAGAGTCAGGAAGTACTTCTCCGCCCCACCTCTACTGCCCTCCCCACCCCCACACTTCAGGGAGTTCATTCTACCTACAGAGGGTTATCCTGATGGATGACTCCTGTTCTGACGGGTTTGCGAGAGGAGACACAGATTTGGTTCCTGGGCACCCTGTGATGGGGGCTCACTAAGGGCCGGATGATGATGTAACAAGAATGGAATAACCCCAGTGCTTAAAGTACTGAAGAAAATTGGAATGGGTCAGGGGTTATAAGGGCTGTCATGAGAACCTAGCTTTAGAAGGGGGAGGGACCTTGGAGGTCATCTAGTCCCACCCCTGCAGAAGAGGTGGTATACCCACTAGAATTTGATTCACTATTTGCCTTCTCTGCTACTTCCTACCTGTGTGACCTTAGGGAGCTCATTTAACTCCTCTAGCCTAAACCCTGAGGGTCTTCCCCTTCCAGATTGATTCTTTTGGGTAGGCAAACTAGGCCATTTTTTGCCTTAATTCTTACCTAGCCTTGAATCATTGAATGGGTGTTGCCTCAGACAAAGTGATGACTTTGCACAGCTCTGCCTCACTTAAATCCAGTTTACTTGCAAGTCAAGGTATCACCCTGTTGATGTCATTGGCCCTCTTCAAGAACGAAGGACAAACAGCAACTTCACGTGAACTAAAAGGGTTGGACCCCATGACCTCTAAGGTCCCTTCCAGCTCTGCATCTACAACCTCAGCTGGAATCATGCATCCTGTCCCATGACAGACATTCTGTAGAATTGGAAGGCTCTTAGAGTTGGTACAGTGGAAAGACCGATGGATCTGGACTCAGAGGACCCGGGTGCAAATCCTGGCTCTGCCCCTTACTGTGTCTGTGGGGTTGGCAATCCACTTCAGCTCTCTAGGACCTCATCTGTAAAATGAATCGGTTGGAATCCCAATTGTGGTTGTTGGATCGTTTTCAGCCGTGTTCCGACTCTTTGTGACTCCTTTTTGGGGTTTTCTTGGCAAAGATACTGCAGTGGTCTGGCACTTCCTTCATAGATGACCTTTAAAGTCCCTTTCCAGTTTGAGATTTATAACGATATGACCCTATGAAGGAACAACTAGGTGGCTCAGTGGATAGAATGCTGGGTTACAGTCAGGAAGACCCAGGTTCAAATCCAGCCTCAGACAATTACCAGTTGTGTGACCCTGGTCAAGTCACTTCACTTTCGTTTGCCTCGGCTTTCTCAATTGTAAAATGGAGATATTAGAACCTACCTCACAGGATTGTTGTGAAGTTCAAACAAGGCATTTATAAAGTGCTAAGAGCACAGTGCTTGGCTCTTAATAAATGCTTGTTTATTAATAAAAAAATACTTTTAGTAAATAGATGAATTTCCTCCCCAAATCTGTACTTCAAACAGGAATCCTCTCTAGGTATTTCTGACAAACTGTTGACTCAGTTCTCATGCTTGAAGATCTCTAGTTTTGGGGAACCCACTGAGGATGACCATTCTTCTTCTATGCAGCATTCATTTGAGGAAGTTTTCCCCTTTATCTAACTTAAATCTTCAGGCAGCAGCTTCCTCCTATGGCTCCTGGTTCTGCCTTCTGGAGCCAACATGGACGAAGCCAAGCCCCCCTTCGACGAGACAGCCCTTGGGACACTTGAAAATAGCCACCACGTTCCCTGCGTCTTTTTTTCTGCAGGCCAAAGATACCCAATTCCTTCCATCAATCCTCAAAGTCTTCATCTCCTGTCCTCTCGCCATCCTGGGGACCCTCCTCTGCACACTCTCTAGTTTGTCAATGTCTTTCCTAAAATGTGATAGCCCAAACCAAAAGGAATGTTCCCGATACAGCCCCTCTGTATTCTGGACACCTCATGGTTCTTTATTTATCCCAGCATGGCTTTAGCTTTCTCAGTGGCCATGTTATACCATTGACCCAAATTAAGTTTGTATGTCATTAAAATGTCCAGTTCTTTTCACATACACACACACACACACACACACACACACATACACACACACACACACAGAGTTGTCTAACTACAACTCCCCTGTCATGTCATTGTGAAAATGATTTTTTTGATGTCTCTTTGTCAAAATTCATCTGATTAATCTCGGCTTGTGAATATCTTTTTCAATCCTCATTCATTTCACACTTATACTGCCTTATATTATAGCTATTTGGGTACATGCCCTACTATCTTTCCCACTAGATTATAGGTTCCTTGTGGACAGGGATGATGTATTATTCATTTCTATATTCTTCATAGCACTTAACATAATGCTGGACATATAGTGGGTACCCAGCAAAATTTTTTTTAATAAATCAAAGAATGAATGTCACTCACACAGCATATACAAGTAGGATGTTAAGGCTGCTTTGTCCTGAGGTAAACTCTCCTAAGTTTCCAGGATGGGTGATGGGCACTGTAGCTGCTGAGAGAGGACAGAGTCCCCAAGCTGGGGAATGTAGGTCCATATGCACTATTGCCATGTCCTCCATACTGCCAGCCCTCACCATCTGTCTTGCCACTGCACCCTCTGGACTTCAAGCCCTTGCCATCTGCCCTGCTGAAGTACTCTTAAGAACCTCCGGCCTCACCACCCACCTTGCTGCTGAACCTTAACCCCTGTAGCACAGCCCTCCTATATGCGTTGCCTCCTCCCATTAGAATGTGAACTCCTTCAGAGAAGAGACTGGTCTTACTTTTCTGTCTATACCAGAGTGCGTGGCACATAGTAGGTACTTAATAAATGTCTTTTCATTTATTCATTCATTCACACTGTCAGGAGCCAGAGGTTCAAGCTAGAACCCTAATACCACCCCAAAACATATGAACTATACAATGCCGTATCTCTAGGAGTCGCCACGTGGTACCACATCTTATCTGTCTGCAGGGCCAATCCCTGTTCACTATCTCGACCCACCCCACCCACTCAAAGCTGAAGGTTCAAGAATGAGAAGATGAGAACACATGGGAAGAGGTTACAATTAGGCATGATGCCGGCTAAGTAGGTGGGAATGTGGGGAGAGGAGGAGGGAGACATTTTGGGAGCCAGGCAGTGATCTGGAGGAGGGAAGAGGACAAGATTGGAGAGATAAGGAAACAGGAAGAAGGGAGCAAGGGGGAGTAAGAGGTGAGGTCACAGTTCAGTTAGGAAGAGTTGTACAACCCCATACCAACTTTTCACAGGCCAGACTCCGACTTAAGTAGTTTCCAGATGCATGAGCATATATGTAGTACACAAACACATATCCATGTATAATATGCATTCATATATAAACCCCCCATATTATATGCACATGTATCATATATTACTGTTCTCAGTAAGTCGTTTCAGTCGTATCCAACTCTCTGTGATCCAGTTTTGGGGTTTTCTTGGCAAACATACTGGAATAGTTTGCCATTTCCTTTTCCAGTTCATTTTACAGATGAAGAAACTGAGGCAAACAGGGTGAAGTGACTTGCCTAGGGTCACACAATTAGTAAGTGTTTGAAGCTGTATTTGAACTCAAATCCTCCTGCCTCCAGGCCGGCACTCTATCCACTGTGCCACCTAGCTGCCCCTTTGTATCGCATATATACAATCATATATTCAGAACATACGCACACATGGACACAGAGTTTCTTTCTTGCATAACTACTATTATTCCCTAAGTCCATTTTCCTGAACCTCCAGGTCCCTAAGCTGCACTAGGACAGAATGAGACATGTTTGCTGAGGACCATACGACAGAGTGAGGTACCATGCAGGGGGGGAAATGGGCTTAAAATCAGGAGTTAGTAGGAATTTTTTTGGAATTTAGAATTTGGATAGATTTGATATCTAATTGTAGCCTAAGTTTCCTGAGGGATGAGAGGAACACAGTGAAGGGGCCAAGGACTGAGACAACATGATACAGTGGAAAAAGCCTTGGTTCTGTAGTCAGAGGACCTGGGTTCAAATCTTGCTTCTGACACTAATCTGTGGGACCTTAGGCAAAATCGCTTCTTTTCTCTGGGTTTCGGTTTCTTCATCCATCTAGGGTTATACTAGGTGGCCTCTGAGGTCCTTTCTAGATCTAAATCTATGATAGGATGATCCTATTAATTCTAAAGGTATTAAAAAGGTGTCCTATCCACTATAGCAATGGCCCTTCCCCTACCATTGCCAGGCTCCAGCCCGGCCTCAATCCATCTACTAGCACAGCCTCTTCATATGGGCCCCAGCATCTTTCCCAGTCTCCCCAAACCGTACCTGTTGTCTTCCATCACAGTCAGTAGGTTAAACACCGTCACCAAGTTGTCTCCTTCTCTCTCCATCCTGCAGGGCACTGGGCACTTCTCCCCTACAGTCTGCCGCACAGAAATGAAGGTGGGAGGCTTCCAGCCACCAAACCCAACAATAGCCCTACTGTCCTGACTACAGGCTCAGGCATTCAGGAAGTGAGCCCATCCTCGCTGGGCTGCAAGCTCTGCAGTCCTGTTCCTGCCTTCAGACATGGGAAAGAGGAAGGATCCCTGACCCCTCCCAGAAGAGATGGTCAGAGTAGGAGGAGCCCAGCCGGGACTGCATCTATGTCCTCCTTGGGGGAGGAAGGAGCTCTCACCCTGGGTGACCCACTGGATCTGCTCACTCTGCTTTTGAAGTTCTCCAAAGATTGAGCATGTCCGCATTTCCCAGTCAGTCTCTGAGAGGTCTGGCAGATCATTGGTGCAGCCCCCATACTTAACAGAATTTGAAGTGGAAGAGAACTCGTGAGAGGACTCTGTACTAAATACCTAACAAATGGTCATACAGCCTCTTCTTGAAGACCTCCAGTGAGCAGGAACTCCACCACCTCTGGAGGCACCCCATTCCATTTTTGGATGGGTCTAATTGTAAGAAGGCAGCTAGGTGGTGCCATGGTGCATAGAGTGCCGGGTCTAGAGTCAAAAAGACTCATCTTCCTGAGTTCAAATCCAGCCTCCAACACTGATGAGCTATGTAAGCCTGGGCAAGTCACTTAACCCGATCTGCCTCAGTTTCTTCATCTGTAAAATGAGCTGGAGAAGGAAATGGCAAACCATTCCAGTATCTTTGACCAGAAAGACTCAGACATGAGTGAAACATCCAAACAAACAACAGCGAAAAATTATTAGGAAGTTTCTCCTTGATAGTAAGTCTAAATTGGCTGCTCTGCAACTTCTGTCCTCTGGGGCCAGATTGAACAAGTCTAATCTTTGCTCCACATGACAGTCCTTCAAAATACTCCCATTCTTTCAATTGATCCTTACGTGGTATGGGCTCAAGGCCCTTCACCATTCTGACTGCCTTCCTCTGTAGATTCTCCAATTTATCAATTGGTCATTTCATTTCACTTGTGTCTGATGCTCCATGACCTCATTTGGGTTTTCTTGGCAAAGACACTGCAGTGGTTTGCCATTTCCTTCTCCAGCTCATTTTACAGATGAGGAAACTGAGGCAAACAGGGTGAAGTGACTTGCCCAGGGTCACACAGCTTGTAAGTGTCTGAGGCTGGATTTGAACTCAAGCGCCCCTGCCTCTAGAGCAGGCACCCTGTCCACTGCACCACATAGCTGCCCCCTAGTCAGAATGATCGATTAGCTACTCCCTGTACATAACATGTCATCTCTCATGTCCATCCCTTTGCACAGGCTGTCTCTCATGACTGGAATGCTCTCCCTTACCACCTCTGCCATCAGAATCCTTTTCTTCCTTCAAAACTCAGCCCACTGCTTCTGACATTTACTATAGTATATTTAAAATATTCCCCAGAAGAATAACAAGACATAGGGTAGATACACAAAGAAAACTGCATATGAAAGGAATATTTTCTGTGACATAAATGATGATGACTGTTTTACCGAATAGTCTCTGCTGATCAATAAAATCTCAAGCTAACTGTCTTCATTATAGCAAACCATTTATTAAGCTAGGGATAGGACATTCATTTCCACCTAGGGCATGTGTGTTCCCACCCTAGGGTATGCTTGTTCCCAATCTGGGGTATGCATACTCTCAGGAGGTACTAGAAGCTTGTTAAGGGGGCATGGGGAATTTTTAGCAAATGATTATAATATCCTATTGCAAAATTCCAAAAGTAGCATGCCCATACCTCAGGTTCAGAAGCTTTGGTTTCTAATAACTTCTCTCTGTGAATCAGAATTCCCAGTCCTCTTCTCCATCAAATCCAAAGCAAGAAATAGTCTGGCAGCTGAGCATGATAGGTGAGAATCTCTTCAAAAAATTCTATCAAGAATAAAACTGATAGTTGACAAGAAACAGAATCAAGGGTCTCACTAATCTGACTGTGTTCTGATAAACATTTAACAACTTTGTAATATTTTAAATGTTCTTATGAACTAAATAAAGTTTTCTTTCTGCACAATTAATTGATCTCTTTTTTATTTGTTATTTATTTCTATCTGCATATACATAGTAAACTCTAGAATTTGTTTCCTTTCACCTGGAGTAAGTGATACAGAAAAAGTGTGCTAAAAGCCAAGGAGTAGAACCCTGAGGGTTGGGTCACCTTGAGGAAGGACAAGGGTTGGGCCTGGAATTCCACTGGCATAGGGAATATGTATCTTTGTCACCCTTGTCCAGCCTTTGCCAGGCTTTCCCCCAGTTTTTGTTCTCTTGAAATTAGTATCTGAAGGATCTAAGCCAAGGAAGTGAGAAAGATGCATTGCCTGGGATGGTATCTCTGGACAGTTCACCTCAGTCATCTTCCAATAGTTCCTGCCTTTTCATTAGCGGTTTCTTCTTTTTATTCAGATCCTATTGTTTTACCCCCGGTTGTAATTGAATTATTTCTTACCATTCTCTTCATCATCCATCACAACCAAGGCCATTTCAAACCTTTTGTCTTTCTTGTTCGCAGCTTTTTCTTCTGGAGACCTTGTGGATTCCTCCCTCCCCCCACTTTGTACCTATTTCTACAACTCCTTCAGCGAAGTATGGATTGTTGAATTTATTGTTAGAAAGAGGCTCATCGGCTTCTACTTCTGGGAGCCAAGATAGCGGAGTAAGAAGTAAGTCGCTCTTACCCTCCCTTATTAATTTCTGAAAGCCCAGAAAATATCACCCCAGGAAAATCCCTGGAACAGCTGAACCAGAAGAAAGATGGGGTGCAGCAGTCCAGTAGCCCAGGTAACTTGAGGGATTAATGTTGTTCTGGGGGAAGGGGAGCAGTACAGAACAGGAGGTATCCCAGCAAACTAGCAGAATGCTCCACCTCAGCATACCAGGAGGAGATCCTGAAACCCAGGTGGTGGAGCAGGCAAACACCAACACCAGGACCCCCGAGTGCCTCAGTGAGAGTGGGGGAACCAGTGGAAACCAGATCAGAAAACCACCAGGTGCCTCAGCATTCTGCAGCAACCAGGTCTCCCACTGCCTCAGCAAAATAAGGGAAGCAGCGTTCCAAGGTGGATAAACATCCTGCAACATCCATCTGAAAGGAGCTGAAGAAAGTGAAAGGAAGGAAAGGCCTGGGTGAACAAGCAACCTCCAGGGGCCAGACTACCCAATCCCACCCCTAGAGTTCCAGTGTTGCTGCTTCCAGCCCAACACCAGGTAAGCTGCCAGAACCCTACAGCCTCCAACTGCCAGCATTGGAGGCCCCAGCATACAAAGCCAGTGACCAGGCCCTAGGCTCCCAACACAAGAAGCTGGGGTCAGTGCTCTCTGCTCCCCAGCAGGAGAGCTCAATCTCTTTAAAGGCCAGGAAATAAGCAAACAACACCATGAGCAAAAAAGAAACGTACGATAGATTCTTATTATGGGAAGAGAGAAGATCAAGGCACAAATTCTGAAGAGGACAAAATGGTCAACAGACCCACACCTGGAACCTCAAAAGGGACTATGAACTGGTCTGAAGCCCAAAAAGCCTCTTAGAAGAGCTCAAGAAGGATTTTAAAAGTCAAATGAGAGAGGTAGAAGAAAAAATGGGGAAAAAAATGAAAGGTATGCAAGAGAGAGTCAATAGCTTGGAAAAGGAAGGACAAAAATTAACTGTAGAAAACAAGTCCTTAAAAAATACAATTGGCCAACTGGAAAAAAATATGGTGAAGAAAACAAATCCCTAAAAAATACAATTGGCCAAATGAGGAAAGAGGTACAAAATCCAGTAGAAGAAAACAATTTGTTAAAAATTAGAATTAGGCAAATGGAAGCTAATGACTCTATGAGAGAGCAAGAATCAGTCAAACAAAAAAATGAAAGAATGAAAAAATAGATGAAAATATAAAATACCTCACTGGTAAAAACAACTGACCTGGAAAATCTATCCAGGAGAGAAAATTTAAAAATTATTGGTCTTCCTGAAAATCACAATGAAAAAAAAGAACCTGGACAGTATCTTTCAGAAAATCATAAAGGAAAACTGCCCTGAGGTCCTAGAACCAGAGGGTAAAATAGCCATGGGAAAGAGTCCACCAATCACCTTCTGAAAGAGATCCCAAATTGAAAACACCAAGGAATATAGTAGCCAAATTCCAAAATTACCAGGTCAAAGAGAAAATACTGCAAGCAGCCAGAAAGAAACAATTTAAATATCATGGAACCACAGTCAGGATTACACAGGACCTTGCAGCTTCAACATTAAAAGTCTGTAGGGTGTGAAATATGATATTCCTTAAGGCAAAGGAGCTTGGATTACAACCTAGGATCAACTACCCAGAGAAAACGAGCATGATCTTTCAGGGAAGGAGATGGATATTCAACAAAATAGGAGACTTCCAAACCTTCCTGATAAAAAGACCAGAGCTCAACAGAAAATTTGATCTTCAAATACAAGACTCAAGAGAGACATAAAAAGGTAAATGGGATAGAAAGAAACAACATGTTATTAATAAGGACAAACTGTACACATCCCTAAAAGGGAAATGACACTTGTAACCCTCGAGAACTGTATTGTTATTACACCATGTTAAAGGGGTATACATAGAGGGGGTGAGTATAAGTTGACTTTGATGTAATGACAAAAAAAAAATCTAATCAAGTGGGTTAAATGGATCCAAGTAAGTGAATTAATTTGATCTAAGAAGATGTACTGAGAGAAAAGGAAAGGAGGAGGCAGATAAGGGTAAATTACATTACAGGAAAAGGCACAAAAACCTATTAAAGCAGAGGGAAAGAAGGGAGGGAGATGAGCATTGTTTAAACCTTATTCTCATCAGATTTGGCTCAAGAAGCTAATAACATAATCAGTTAGGTACTAATATTGATAGACTTAATCCTTCTCAGCAATACAAAGATCTAAGACATCTACCTCCAAAGGCCTCATGATGGAAAATGCTATCCACATCCAAAGAAAGAACTATGGAGTTTGAATGCAGATCGAAGCATATTATTTGCTAATTTCTCTTCTTCTGTTGTGTTTTGTTTCCTCTTTCTGGTGGTTCCTCCTATTGGTTCTAATTCTTCCTTACAACATGACTAATGTGAAAATATGTTTAATAGGAAGGTATGTGTATAGCCTATATCAGATTGTG